ACAGCGCAGATCACCAATTTTTCTGTAATGAGCTATTGCACAACTGAATCAGTGAACTGAACCAGCATTTTGAATTTTAATTGAAAGACAGAGTATGGACAAAACATGAAGTTTCCTTTGTAAACCTTTAGACCTGGCATATCAGAGTTTTCCTGTACAGTGGTGCCTTGCCCAATGACCACACTTTGTTCCTGAGCTGTGGTCGTTTGGTGAAACAGTTGTTGGGCGGATCACATTTTCCCTTAAGCCTTAAGGATTAATGTAAAACTAATTAATTGGTTCCTGAGAAAAAATTGCTGGCAGAAAAATGTAAAAATTTGCCCAAATTGTCAAATAACAAGACACAGATCCTTGAAAACACTGCCATAGTACATTGAAATTTTTTCCTCATTAAATTGCCTTGCTATCTTTCAAAAATTAACCCGCACAATTAATAGCAATTGTACCACATGCATATGCGACATCTATGAGTTATGCAGGAATCAATCTTTATGCATAACTTTGCATAGATGTCACTTTTGCATAAGGTACATCAAGCAATTTTAGGCTTAGAATATCACCAATTAAAGTTTCCTTCCATTCTCTCTCACTTTTCCTCGAAAAAAAATGCTTGAGAAACAACCATTTTTGTTGAGAAGAAGAAGCAAAAGCATTAAGAAAATGTCCTTCTATGAAAATTAGTTCAAAATTAGTTCAAGGGAAGGCAAGAAAATGTTTGCAAGGTGGGCAAATCCAATTTTGATTTTAGTTTTTTATCTTGCCAGGAATTGCATTTCTAACTAATTTTGTACATTTTTTTCAGAGAATCAAATGAGAAAGAAAGTGAATGAATTTCCTGACAGATGGAATATGTCTTTTATTTTTTGCCTTTCTTTGGCACCATCCTTAATTTCACTATTATCTTCACTTTGTTTTGAACTTGATTCTCTGAAAGCATGTAAAACATATGTTATTAGGGCATTTGGTGGTGGAAAAAAAAATTTCTTGGCAAAATCGGAGTTGTGGGCTTAGTGACAAATGGTTGTTGGGCAGGAAAATGGTTGTTGGGCGGGACATTTTTCAAAAGGTTTCTGATGGTTGTACGGCGAATCCGTCGTTGGGCAGTGCAGTTGTTTGGCGAGGCACCACTGTACGTGACACCACTCAGTGCACTGTAAACTCAAAGCCTCAAGTCTGTCACTAGTGTGCGTAAAGGAGAAAGTGAGGGAATTGCATGAAGGAATCACCATTGTTTCCACGGAAGCTTCAAATTTTCAGGGAAGGAAGGTGTCATGTAGTGACAAATATACTGTATTTGCAACAATGTGATTAAAAAAACAATTCAAGTTATGCTTTTTTTGAGCATGACACCATGTAAGGGTCGCACTGCTGAATCAAGGTTTGACTGTACAGTATTTCTTTTGGGTGTCAGAGTTGAAGTTCAATGTGGTAATTCTCAAGTCACTCAATGAAAGACTGGCGCTCCTAGGGATGGCGTGGAAGAGGTAGCCCTGAATGGAGCGACGTTGAGTGGCATTTGTACTAAAACATCGCGTCACAATTTCTCAAATGGAGTTCTTCAACCAATTGTGTCAGAAGTAAATGGTGTCAATGAATTTCCCGCAGGAATTGTATCAAGATCATATAGATCATAGATGACTCGGCAGTATGTAAATATACGTGCTCTTGATCATACGAAAAAATGGAAAATAGTACAGCCAGTGGTTCTACAAGCTTGTGGCAATCGGAAATTATTTGAGATGTATTTTGTAGATGGAGCTAGCAATCTGGCTCCTCCCAAATGGGATAGCTCCCGGCTTTCCACCGAGGAAACCTTCTATGAGATGGCCATCGCCCATTTCGGAGGGACCTGCCTTAAGGCTTCCAACTTTACTTATTGACACCTCCTCAGGTTCAACCTGAAAAGAGAAAATCAACGTAATTAGTCTCAATCTGTGAAATATTAGTTCCCAGCATTCGTTTCCGCTGGCGATAAATAGCACGAAGACAACCCATGAGCATGCAAGATGGGCTTACTGCTACGTTCAGGAAACTTACTTGTAATATCGATGCGCCTCCACGATGTATCACAATTGAAGACCCAGGTGAGCTTACTGAGGAGGGGGAGGAGTCCTTGATGGAAGATTGCAAAGGACCCGATGAAACGTTAGGGAGTGGCTTCTTAACAATCGTCCCAATGCGCTTGGCAGTCACATCATCGACC